GCAGGGGGTGGGACTGGATGAGTTTTAAGGTCCCTTCCGACCCAAACTATTCCATGGTTCTGTGATTCTGGGTTTGTTCAGCAAATCCTCCAATTGTGTGTTCACAAAAAAACTAGAGAAAAAATACATGTAAGGATTTAGACATAAGTTTAGGAAGATGTGATGCAAACAACTGCTGATCACGAGAGGTTTGTAGGATGGCTGGGAACTCACAAGGTGTCCAGAGACTGGCTTAGTGTCCGCTCAGGGGGGCTGGTACCTCACAAGCCATGATGAGATGCAGCCCCTGGTCAGGTACAACACACCAACTGCTTTGGGTGTGTGTTGGAAATAATCAGTGTCAGCCACTTCCCAGAAGGAACCAAAAGGGACTGATGTCCCTCAGTGCCTGTGGACAGGGGGAAGTGTTTGTAGCACTCCAGTGCAGAGTCTCGTGTGTGAGTTCCTGCTGGATAATATGGGATGGGACTTGGAAAGGTCTTTCCAAATCCACCATGGATCCCACATCCTACAGTCATTTTACTTGAAATAATAAAATTTTTTGGTCTCTTTCCCAGCTTTCAAAATGATGTAAAAATTATCTTTCACTATAAAAGCTCTAACAAGCAGAGGAATAAAGTTTGATGTTGCTGCTGGGATTTTTATGAGCTGAATTTCAGGTCCTGCTGTGATTCCTGCCTTGCCCTGCCGATCACGTTTTTGTCCTGCCTTACAGGGTTTATTTTGGCCTGTGCCTGCCCAGCCCCCTTTGGTGCTGCCCTGGCAGGGTGAGGTTCCTGCTGGCTCTCAGGAGCTGCCCTGGCTGTGTTCAAGGACTCAGCCCCAGGCAGGGCACGTTGTGTCCAGCCCTCTCCTGCTGTCAGTCCCTTCCCAGTGACACACTGACACAGCCCCGAGCCCTTGGCTTTGTGGGAGAGATCCAGCAGCAGGGATCAGAGGAGGGGACACGAGCCAGAGGGGGAGCCCCTGGCACTCACAGGTCGCTGTCTCCCCCTGCTCCAGGTGCTGTAGGAGGATTTTGTCTCTGTCTCCCCCTGCTCCAGGTGCTGTACGAGGATTGCCGGATGGTGGCCGTCACTGCCCCCTACGTGGCCGGATTCCTGGCCTTCCGAGAGGTCCCTTTCCTGGTGGAAGCTGTTCAGAGACTTCAGCAGGAGGAGCCCAAGCTCAGACCTCAGGTGTGCTGTGTTTCTTTGTCCCAAGCTGAGGTGTCCTGTGGGCACAGAGTCCTGCTGAAAGGTGTTGTTCTCCCTCTGGAGACTGCACTGGATGCTCTCCACGGGTGTGTTGGAGCATCCGTTGTCCCTTCCTTAGGGAGCAGGGATGTGGGGCCAAGAGCAGCCAGGCCTCCTGTGGCAGCAGGAGCCCTGCTGTGTGTGCAGGACACTGGTACCACTGAGAGCTCACACTGCTGGTTTGGAGTCAGGCACAGGCAGCACCCCAGGAAGAGCCTTACAGAGAGAATTAAAGAACTGAGAGAGACTTCTCCTTCCTCCCGGAGCCAACATCACTGCTTCCTCCTTGGAGTGCTCAGGAAGTAACATTTCTGCTTTGGCTTTTTCAGGTGCTTCTGGTAGATGGGAATGGGCTGCTCCATCACAGAGGTAGGCTGTTCCTGGATGGTCCTGCTGTCCTGGTCCCTGTGCTGCCGGTTGGGATTCCAGTTCCCTGGTGTCCTGGGGGTACAGTGGCTCGTTGTTGGCAGGATTTGGTGTGGCCTGTCACCTCGGAGTCCTGACGGATCTGCCGTGCATTGGAGTGGCCAAGAACCTCCTGCAGGTGGATGGCTTGGCCAGGGATGAGCTGCACAGGGAGCAGGTTAGGCCAGGCTGGGAATTTATTTCTGCTCTTTAATATCCCAAGGGATCTGGCACAGCCACATACAAATACATCCTAACAACCTGACCTGCTGTGTGTTTATCCCTAGATTCGTTCCCTGCAGAAGTCAGGAGATACATTCCCATTGACAGGCACTTCAGGGAGAGTCCTGGGCATGGTAAGCTGTGGGGAGTTCCCTGGACGCTTGGCCATGAGGATGTTGTTTCCATAGTGGGGCTATCTCAGTGATCCCAGTTCAGGAAGGCAGGTGTGAACAGGGACCAGTAACACTTCCAGCCCCTTCCTGAGAGCTCAGATGTTCGTAGAGAGTTGCCAGTTCAGGTGTTGGGTACAATCACGTCTGTGGCACCTGAGGTGCTTTGGCACCCCTGCATGTGCACTCCAGTCAGGGAGAGGTGCCAATTCCCTGGCAGTTCACCAGGATGCAATATGGGAGCATCTGACTCAGAGGAGAACAGGAACAGGCAGATGTTAGAGACTTCCTGTGTCTGGTGTCAGTCTGCACTGGCACGTGTCCCTGCATCCCAGAGGAGTGTGAGGTGTTTGGGGAAGGGCCACGGGGGTCCAGAGGGACAAACAGTCCCTGTGAGGAGACACTGGGGTGGAGAAGAGCTTCAGGAAGGCTGGGAATTGCAGACACAGAGCCACCACCCCACCCTCTGAGGGCGACTGCCTGGCTCATAATTCACCTGCCCCTCTGTGTGTTCTCAGGGAGCCTGTTGGGTGCTTGATCTCTCGTTTCTGAACGCCCAGGTGCTGCGGAGCTACAACAACAGCTCGAAGCCCCTGTACATCTCCGTGGGGCACAGGGTGAGCCTGGACACAGCCGTGCGCCTCGTCAGGGCCTGCTGCAGGTACCGCGTCCCGGAGCCCATCCGGCAGGTACGGCCCCGGGGCTGGGGGAGGCAGGCCTGGAGCAGGGCAGCAGGGGCTGGGGGCTGTGTTTGCCAGCCTGTGGTGTGTTGCAGAGCCTCCTCTGCTGCTGACACCCTTCTGCTGGGCTGTTCTCCCGGCCCGTGGTCACGTTCCCGTGGCCGTGCTTGTCCTCCTGATGCAGTGCCCGGCAGCCCTCCCAGCCCTGACTGATTTCCTGGTTCCTCTCTGCAGCCAGCTCCCGTGGTGCTGCTGTTAATCCACAGGAGCCGGGAATGCAGCTTTCCTGGGCACTTGGAGCCCAGCACAGCCCGCAGTGCTGCTCCTCTGGGCTTTTCCCCGCTGCCGCACTCCGGACGGAGCCGCGGGCCCAGCCAGCAGGGGACAGCACTGGATCACTGTCACCGAGCCACAGCTGCCACCAGGGCTCAGCCTTGGCTGATTAAATCGTAGCAGAGCTTCAGGAAAGGCTCTGGAGAAGCATAAAGACTTCAGGACTTCTGGCCTGACAAGTGCTTCCCTTCTCCTGGGGTCACTGCTGTCGGTGGCTCCACAACCCAGATCCACAAGGGCCTGCTCAGGTGTCCCTGTTCCTAATGCTGCCCTGGTACAGCCCACTGGCATTGCTGCTGTGCTGGTTGGGTGTTGGGGGTCTGCCCACCTGTGCAGTGCTGGGGTGACCCTGCTGAGGGCTCTGTGCCAGAGCTGCTCACAGGCACCATGGTGTTCTCTGAACAC